GTAAGTGAAGAAGTGCATGGCTTTATTGCAATGTGATAGATGCTATGGGCAAAAGATTATAGCTATAAAACAAAGCTTTCATAATTCGTAACAAAAAATACAGTTGGAAGTGTGAATGTATAATTTTATTACAAATGGTGAAACGCGAAACTGATACATAGTATCTCTCTTAGTCATAGTTTCTGCAATGTAAGGTTTGAACGCCAACAAGTTACAAATCATACATAAATTTATATATATAGCTCATATGTTCATAAAAGGTGGGCAACATATGTAAATGTGTGAGTAAGATTTGTGAATTGTAATGAAATTACTTTTTCAAAGAGAAAATATGTTTAGAATCTAAACTTCTGTTTTTTATCACCAGTAACATCTGGTAAAGTTTCTACTAATGATATTGTAGAAAAAAATTTCATTATAAACAAACAAAATGACCACTTTGGAATCTGTTAACATTTGCATCATTAATAGATGGTGAAGATGATTGAATCTCATCTACATTTGTAAATCCCATGGAAACATTTTATGACTTTTATTTTCAACTTGTTGATTTGACAATTTCAATTAAATGATTTAAATGTTAGAAATTAATTTAGATTTTGGATAATTTTAGTTAATTTAACTATAGTTAATGAAAATAATTAGCTTGTTCTACATACGAACTAACATAATGTAACACTAGTGATCAAAAGACAATTCACTTGAAGATGGAACACAATTATAAAGATGAGAGATAGTTAGAATAGTTCTACTCTCACTTACATATATGTAACCAACAAGTGCAAGGAGATAAATTTCACCTATCATCAATTTCACTCTGAGTGAATTGATGACATGATAACTAACAACTAACAAGCACATAAATTTTTGACGTGTTACTCTCAACTTAAACATTCAATACTCACATAACAAACAAAAAGATTGATGATCACATCTGCTCTATACTTATCAAACACATGGATATCTAATGTGACAACTATGAAAAGTGCACTAAAAATTAACTATAATTTTATCTTGAATAATTTTTATTTTAATTCTAACTAAACAAGTATGATTATATAACACATAAGCATTTTGAAACAAAAAATAAACTTTCAATAAAACATCATTATGTTCATGTAGATTGATTTTCATTATCTTTTTTGTTAAAAACAATAATGAATGTAATTTATACATCATGCATTGGGTTTAAGATTTAGGTATGAAATATTAAAGTATGGAAATATTTTTTTTTCATAACTTGTATGTATATATATATATATATATATATATATATATATTCATTCATGAGCTTGTATCATTTCAAAATGATCGTATGTGAAAATTTGGTTGTATTTCACTTTTTTTCCTATAAATGCATTGTCTTGAATAAAGATTAATCATTAAAATACAATCTATTTTGAATAAAGATAATTCTCTTTATTTCATATATTTTGATAAAAAAACAAAAAATAAATGATGATGTGTTGATAATGATGTTTTATTAAAATAATTAATATATATATATATATATATCAATAAATTGAAATGACTTCATCATTTTTAATCTTTATTTCTTTGTTTTAAATATTAAATGGATTTTTAGTGCATCATATTTTATGCATTATACATTTTAATATTTATTCCTTTATTTTAAATATTCATATTTCAAGAATAAAAATAAAATTTATTGTATAAAATGATAATTTTAATAAATTTGAATTTTTTAATAAATTAAAAATATAAAATATAAATTGAATTGAAATTACAGATTTTCATCATATTAGGTTCAAAAATTTTATATTTTATTATTTTTATTATTCTTATTATCAATTTATTTCAGAAGATATTTTTGTATAATCTTATAATCATTACAAGCTAAAATAAACAGAAAAAGAGAATTATCACAATATACATGTGTATAAACAGTTTTTCCAATTAAGATTAAACAAAAATCTATGTGAGTAACAAACATACCATCATCCATGAACTAAAAATAAATACTGATGTTATTTATACAACCTGATATGAGGTTTAAAAATTATGACTTATGTTTACACTTAAGTGGATTTAAAAAAAAAAACCTTTAAGAATATTTTTTTGAATAATTTTTTAACCTTATCATATGTTTAATTATGATCTGGTAAAATTTAAAATTCGGGAAAAAATGAGGATAAACTTCAAAATTTTATTTCGGGATTTATATCTATCACAATCTATTCATCAATTTTCAGTAGTGTTATAACAAGAATAATATTTTAATTCACTGATGTTTCTGATGAATTTCTTTCTTTGTAAAGTATATTGCTTGCAACTCAATTTCAGGCTAATTTTCAACTTTGTTTTATGAATTATGTTTTCAAAAAACTTGTATTTTTTGAAATAAAAATAGAAATTTAGAATTTCGTGGTATCAGATCAGATATTTATCATTTAGAAAAAATTAAAAATTATATATTCTACAATGTTTCAAATTTTAATTTAATCAATAATGATACTTTTATTGATTTTACATAGAAAAATTTGATGAAATATTTTGATATATTGAACTTTATAATAAAAATTTTAATAATTATTTTAATAATAGTTGATATTACAAAAAAGTTATCATTAGGATTCATTCACAATCGAAGAATCTTGAGTTAAATGTAAAATTATCTTTGATATAGTTGATTTTGAATAAATGACGACGTAATGACTTCTTTTCTTATCTTTGTAAGTGCAGTAAGGTTTTTTTTATTGATAATAGGATTTGTTTTGTAACGTGATATACTCTATTCTTGAATAGAATTTGTGTTCAGACAGAGTTTTTCTCGTAGAAATGTAGAGAAACACAGAACATGTATATTCAATGATTACAGCAGTCATGCTTTATTGAAGTCCAAGACCATAATGAACTACGTTGATTACAAACTAAGTCCATCATGATCAACTGGATGACGCTGTGGCACTCAACCACCGAACACATATTCTAGTTTTCACTCAACTCCGTGAACTCACGGAAGTCATATGCTCGTGTACCAATCCCTCCTCAACGATTGACGGCATCTTGACGATCAGAATGTTTTGGAATGAAGGTATTATTTTTGAAGTTCAGATAAGATACAAAAAGATTTTGAGGAAGGAAGAAACTGATCGGAAAGAAATGTTTTAATTGGTTACAATTAGAGCTGTGCAGAAAGAGCGTTGATTGCAAACCAAGTCTATCAAGATTAATCTGGATTATTCTGTCGCACTCAACCATTGAATACAACGGTTCAGCAAGACCGTTAGACTGTAGAACGAGTTCATGATCTCCCACTCGCCACCCTGTTCGAGAAGGGGGAAATTGAGCTCCTGTAGTGGAGGAAGGTCCACCCAACCATTCTGTTTCCTTGGCTTGTAGTTGAGGTAAAACTAGTACGAATCCGATCGACCGAAACTGAATTGTTTTACTGATTTTCTTCAGAAGACGAGGAACTGTTTCAAACTAGTGAAGTGCATAATGATCGCTTGGAGACTTTCCTCGGTAGCTTGTCAGCATACATGATGTACAGTCATTCTCGTTGCATTCTTCAAATGGCAGTGATTTGACTTGTCATAATCTATTATCATCACAAGAGTCCCGATCAGAAACAAAAGCTCTGGCCAGGTCTCCTCCTTCGAACAGATACAGCTGTATAGGCATGTACAGTACACGCTTTGACTGGGGCATTCAACGTAGATCAGTCGACAGTATTCTGGAAGTATTATGAGTTCATTCAATATCATACTTTAAAGAGTTCTGTTCCGAACTTGGTGAATCAGCGCACTCCAAAATTGCCGTTTTGTAGACCATAAATCATTTATACCTCTACAGGTAGTTACATTCATCTGTACAAGGTATGGATTATGTATGGCTAGTTTACTATCTCGAGGCATATTGTCGTACCGCAGTATGTGGTATCAAAATGATGCACTTTACTCGGCTGTTTAGAGTATTCATTTCATTCAATTAAGTTCAATTTGCACGAGGTTTCGCATCATCTTTAGTTCGTGTGATGACAAGAGCCAAAACTGGTCCAGTGATGGACTCTGCCATCTTACTTTCCAGGAATGTGATGCCGATGTGTTCAAATGTGATGCTTAAACAGTTCTATCAATATTTCTCCTTACATCTCACAGTGTCTTGTGCTATCCTCACGGCAACATGAAAGGCCGTGACAGGCAGCCTCTGTAGATGTACATAGTGTTCTTTATCAAACGTTTTGTTCTTAAAAGGAAAACAGAACCAGCTCGAGAGTTGAGACCGACAGTCAGTCACCCACAGACATGGAAAATTCCCCAGTACGAGACACTCACAGCTGCCCATGTGCGCTTTATAAAGTATTTCAAAAATGGAGCCATGTGCAGTTCATGGGTAACAGACTTTTCGTTCAGTCTGTACCAGGCCTTTATTCAGGTTCTTAATCACCCTGTTTTGAAGTCCTTTTTCCGGTTTCTTCTCCTGTTTGATATTACAGTGCGGTTCTCCAGAACTGACAGTAACCCAGAATGATTTATGTGATTATCAGCAATCCACCACTACGAAGGAACTCTAATTTGCCATCCGAAGAAACCATATCTATGACTGAACCCTGCAGGGTACCTCTGTAAACCCAGCACCATAGATTGTCTAAATCCGCCAGCTCAGGGTGCACCTAGGACATGTCCTTGAATCTTCGCAATTATCCTCGAGGAACAGTTTCGGTTTTACTGTAGGTTCTGTTAATGTGTAAACTTCAGAAACTTAGTTACAATCAAGGTTGCGCGTGCTCTTTTTCTGAATAACTTCATCAGCATGCTTCATATTCGAAGGGAAGTCCTGTATGTACAGTGCTGACTCAGAGAGGATCCTGCCTCACGAAGCGGCGGGTTCGTGTTTCAAAGTCTTTGGTTCAAAAGGAATAGTCTGTACTTCTCGCATTCCTGCCAAGACTGAACTAGTCAGCTGCTTCGAAGCGGAGTTCATGGACGTGGATGTGGACAACAGGCACTGGCTTGATTAGTGAATTATCAGTGGTGGCGACTAGCTTCATACGATATTTGCTGCTAATAAGAACTCCAAATCAATTGCAGGAGGTTAGCATGGCGTAAGTTCATGTGTGTACTGTAATCAGCTCTCTGAGGGAGGATTCGACTAGAGCAGTCTTTGCATTTTCTTCGTCCACAAGCTTCTGAACGTCCTCCCGTTGACACTCGATCAACTGGATCTCTCTGTCTATTGCTTCGTTCTCAGATGTAACCTGTTTTTCGGTAAATTTAGTTCCGTAAGCTCCTGAAAGGATGATATCTATACTCATGAAAAAGATAGCCCAATTTCTACGAGAATGTGATACCTACGGTTCACAGCCACTCTACAGACATACAAAAAATGCGAGACATAATTTGCATAATGACGGGCCTTCTGATTCGGCTTCCTTGAACCTTGACATGAACCGTGAACCTGACCCTATTAATTCAGTGGATGGTCTCAACATCTAGTTTCCATCATAGAGCAATTAGACTCATTCATCGTACAAACTACAGCTTTCACAATGTCTGATGGAGTTTAAAAAGGCACCCTCCGAAGTATCTCTCTGGCCTCCGCTTGCTTATGCTGTAACTGGCCGTGGAGGATATTAATGTGAGTCTTGTCAGACTCGAGCTTCTGCAATTGGTCATAGCAGATGAATGACAATTCACACTTCAGTAAAATCACTAGAACAACAAATGAGTGTAGACCCTCACAACCTGAAATCTAAGACCACAACTTCGCCGACATTCTTAGTATGGAGTCACCGGCCATGCTTGGGTTGGCCAACAATGTAATTCGATTTGGTGCAAGTGGCGACAAGGGACAAATATCCAGAAAAGCTGCCAAGGAGTTTCCGGCATTACTTTTACCTTTCTCCTTTCAAGAGCTTCTGCAAGCTCGTTTCTTAAGATACAAGACCTGGTCTCTGCAGCTGACAATCTGTCCAGGAAGAGTTCCTTATCGTGGTCAGCTTGGGCGATGTGATGTCTCCTATCTTGTAGATTCACGAAGCTGTCAATCAGCCGCTGCAACGACAGGTTCACGGCCGTAGAAGCAATTTTCTGGCGACAGTATGGGCAGAGTTTCTTACGCTGGCTTCCAACATGCACGGATAGACACTGCATCAAATCCTCAACTGTCAGTATGGCTCGAGCTCAACTGGCTTGGCTTTAATCTCGTAAGCTCAGAGTAGTAAGAGCCCAGCATTCATTCCCACACGGCGACAAGGGGAGACGGGGCACAAGACTCCCTACATCGTGGCAGAGGACCTACGCAAGTGGAGGCGACTTGAGAAGGCCCATTATAATGCAGAACAGGAAAGTCAAGCCAATTATCACTCAGCTCACGCTTCAGAATTATCCATTACAAAAGTACATGAGGTGTCAGATGATGACGGGCTCGACATTTCTAGCACAGACTGGATCAATTCTGAAGTGAGATGTGAAACCGTCGGAGCCGACTCTGATCACGATATGAACTTTTTCCTTCAATTCGTCGTGCAATTGGTCTATGACTTGCTCCAATTGAACTGAAATTGAACAGCCCCCCAGCGACAAACAATGGCTCGACGGAAGAAGAAAACATGTGAATTCTACGACATGGCCGTCAGAGCCTGGAGGACAGTGGAGGAAAGACAGGGGGATGACCTTGGCACAGAATGAGTGACCACAAGGGGACAGGACAATCGGCGGATAGTCAGGCGACTTCATCAGCTCAAAGCAGATGGGGCACGTATTGCTCTCTATTTCTGCAGCCAAGTCGCTGCGCTGACAATTGAACAGCACAAGCCCGTCCTCAGAAAAGCCTCGCGGGGCCGACCGACTGACGACTGACTGCACGGCGGTGTAGCTACAGAAACTGGCAATCGAGGTGCAAAGCGAAGTCATTGCAGCAATGCAAGTGGGAGGGTAGGGTTTAGAGAAAAGTGCATAAACTTCGTGTCGATTTATTCTCGGAGCATGTTCTGCAGTTCGGTGCTCCGCGTTATGGGGTCGTGAATGTCTGTAGGACCCCGGGCGATCGAATTGAGCACGGTCGTTCACAAGTGTCTGTGCAACAATTTGTTTGACTGAGAATCTTATCGACGACGCCGACCACATCATCATCAGCATCGTAGTGATCGACCTAGAATCTCAGGTCGACGACACCGGAGCCCAGAGCTGCTCCGATCGACATCTCCAATTTTGCTCCAAGATCAGAACGCGACAATGGATGCGGCATCCGAAATTGAACGGACTCTGTCCCAGCACATTTGCTCCCCTGAGGCTGAAGGTCGCCCAAACCCAGGGGGTGATGGTGGCGACCCGAACCTAGCAAGAGAGGGACACAATGGGATGGCCGTGAGCGCCGCCATTGGATGAATCTGGACGAGCGATCTCGCTCGCCCCGCCCCGCCCCGCCCTCGCCCACTTCAAGCCGCTTGGCGAATTCGAGCAATGGAAGGCCCGGAGAGGACGGCGATGCCGGACGACATGACGGGCCCGTGGCAGAGAGGGGCGTGGGCCCACAGGAGTTCGGATACCAACGAGACTGCGTGTCGAGGGAGATCGATCCACCTCGTCACGGCTTCGCCATCGACAGCGCTGCCGAGAAATCCGAGCGTTCCGGTGAGTCGTAGCTCCGTCAGGGAAGGACCATCGATACACCACTACGCCCAGTTTTTCACAAGTCACGACGTCTGTCTCTGCGTGTCTCGGTCCTCCTCTTCATGCAACAGACAGTTGCTCGAATTGGTTCCGAACTGCGCACATCTAAACCCTAAATCCTGACAGGACGTCGCCGCATTGCACGATCGCTGGCAGTAGAGTCTCGACCGTCATTGCCCTTCGGCTTTCAACGACTTGGGATAACTCGCCAGACTACAAGCTTTTTCGGAATCAGTTAGATTAGGATTAGGTCGGTTCGTTGTCATTCTTGTGCTATCGATGTTCCTAATTCGATCCGTCTCTCGCGATTGAACTCAACCCAATGCATTTAAGTGTAATGCCAGAAGTCTGGTACATCTGCTCGGAGGAACTAATTCACGTCAGCTGGAGAGCAGACTCCACGGCGCAGAAAGAAAGGACAGCCGTGAAAGAGTGGACTGCATTCATGGTGGATTTGGATTAAGAAGACCCGACAACTACATGAATATATTACAAGCCCAGTGCATGGAGTCCGAGCGAGACGCGGGATGCAGAAGTTGTGGAGGCCATCTCGTGAGGCGTGTGTGGAATCCTCAATCGAGTTGACGAAGGAACCGAGGATCAGAATAAAAACTCATCCTGCTAATCCAGATGCTTGAAAAAGAAGTAATATCGGCACTCGGAACTTAAGGCCCTCGAGGCGGTCCATGTTTCCTCCTCACCCATACCAAAATGAAGCCAACGAAAAGCAGCAGAGTGAGTCAAACTCGAACCAATTCGGCTCCAATCTCTGACTGTACTGACTGACTGACTGACTGACTGACTGCCAATGCTCGCCTCTTAGTAGTAGTTGTAGGAGGAGGAGGACTTTGTTTCTTCTGTTCCCAAACAGATCTAGAAGGTTCAGATATTTCAACGCCTGTACTTTGTACTCGACTGACAAATATGTACTCGACTGCGTTCTAAATTGGCGTAGGGCCAATGGGGAGCACTTGTGAGCTAGAAAGGGAAGAGTGCAGTTCAGTGGAGTGGATTGTTGTCTTGTTCGAGTGGGACTCTGAGGACGATCCTCGTAGACAACGAGAATGCAAGAAGCTTCCCATCGATGGAGTCGACCCCGACCGGAGCCTAGGCACCATTACTCCTCTCACGTGAGACATGTCAGACCCTGTATCACATCCACTCACCTTTTCTGATGTACGATGGAAGCTCGCTCGCCGGGAGTATCGAAGAAGCGTTTCCTGGTGGTACTCAGCACTCATATGCTTCATTTGCATGATATAAATCATTCTCCTGGACACATATATAATATTTGTGTCCAGGAATTAAAAAGTTAAAATACTCGTGATCATTATTTCTCTTTTCTGATAATTACAGAGGAGCCGAATGAAAGAAAACTCTCAAACTCGGTGTATAATGAGAGGCGTTTTATTCATAATGATTAATGTCGAATTTAATACTTAGCCTTTCATGACAACCATGCGGGTTCGGTTCCCTTCCCGTTGAAAAGAAACAATAAAATGCGGTACAGTAGGAGAAAAACCGCGAGAGGTCCGTGAGAAAAATAAAAGTGGAAGGAAAAAGTAGAGAGAGTTGCAAGAGTGCACAAAAGAGGAAAGAAAAAATAAAAGAAAAAAGGAAAAAAAAAGGCTCGAACCCACGGGTGGAGTGACGGAGGACTGTTCGGAAGCTGACGAGCCTTGTCTTCTGGAGGCATTTGTTGCAGGTCTTCTGGGACGAAGGAATCTGGGAATTCGGGAAAGTACTGTTGCGGGCGACGGGAATGTGCAAGTGCTCGAGACAAAAGCCATGGGAAGGCGTTTAGGAACGACAAAGGCTCACTTTACAGCTCTAGCTGCTCTGACTGGGCCGATTCAGAACGCAGAGAGCTGTTGTCACATGAGATGAACAACTCCCCATGTTGAAATCACATGGCCACGAGCGCTACTGCACCCACTCCCAGATTGAACTCCTGTGTATGAGACTGTGATCTGCTTGATGGTTGCCTAGAGACAAATTTATTCTCCCTCTCTATTCTTACCTGTCGAGAAGGTAGATCCATATCCGTAGCCGACAGTACACTAACTTGGAATCCAGAATCGACTGAAGGTAGTCAGCTTCGCTAGCAGACTCTGACGAACCAAATGGTGGGATCCGACTGAGAGAAAGTTGAGTGTTCGGTTGAGCTCTCAGTATACATGCAAGCCGAAAATAGATGTGGCAAGTAAGCCTGGAGCTCGATACAGTAGACAGAATAAGAGATTAGAACTGATGAAGCAGAAGCTTGCAGAAGCCTCCGAGTTATATAATGTCCTGAGGTGCTTTACCAGAAACTCGACATGCTTCAGGGTCTATTTTTCTCTCGTCTATATTTTCGAGTTTACTCCTAATTTGGTGCTAGAGTATGCGCCAAACTGTCAGTGTTCGGGTGGAGTATTGCAACACGGTTGGATTGGAGTTGGAGAAGGTTGACTGACTGATCTTTTCGATGCCACTGTTAGCCGACTTGACAAGCTGATTGTGGTTCGTAATTAGTGTGTTTGAACACTCCTCCAGTATGTTCTTTGTCGCTACTTTGTCTCATCGTCAGTGTATGCAGGCCTCTGACCTTTCATTCAGTGGATCCATGGTTGGACGAGCATCTCTTAAGGAGGCATCTCCCATCACGTGAATCTGCGCAAGAGTGGGAACAAACATCATCTGAGCTATGCACGTCAAGAGATGGTCCCAAGACTCGTTGATTCACCAACCACTCAGCTCGTTAACCTCGGAACTTGGCCCATTATTAATTCAACTCTGCTCTAAACACACATAAACAGAACCTTAGTACAACTTTATTGATATATAAATTTTTCATTGCAAATTCTAATTTGTGCCCAGAAAGCTTCTGCTGGCTTTTAAATATATTGCTAGTTAACTAGTGAAATACACCATGATATAATTTAAAAAAATGAACCAAGATATCAATTGATTCCAAACGTTATCTTTTAAATTGATAATTAGAAATTCAGCTTTATCTATATATTTTTTTACTGAATCTGTTCATCACTTCTATTTACTATGTGGTATTTTTAATTTTGTTTCAAATAAGATGAATACTCATGTATTCTGGCTCCGCTTAACACATTTTAATTCAATGTGAGATTAAAATCCTTAGTTTGTTTTTCTAAAAGTATTATAATTCTTCATATGTGACTCTGGAATCACCTTTCTTAATAATTGAACTATAAATGATGTCATAACAGATATGGTTTTCATTATGACGTGAGAGTTTGAAAACCTCACATGGAGGTATCATTAGTTTGTACGACTATTGACTAAGGTTGAACAAGATTTACATTTGGTTTGGAAAAGACTCTTTGTTATTATGATGGTTATCAATACTACATATGAGAAGATGATGATGGATTATATTGCATGGACAGCCATTGCGGACAACATCCAAGGTATATAAAGTAAAGGGTACGTAGAGAGATGAATATTACAAATGATAGCAATCAATTAAATGATGTTTTTTTTGAAAAATAGAGTTGTTCGTATAATCTCTCACTTACAAATTAAGATATTTTGTGTGCAATATGGTGACGTGATATGATTGTTTGACATACAGTGTTACAGAGAGAATCAACAAGTCAATGGCAATGACAAACTAAATAGATATTTTCACTCTTCACGGATGCCGCCGGACTTTACACAAAGTATAAATCGTGAACCCTCCACATCGTCCAATTCTATTGACAGCCCGATTGCCGGCAGGACATGCAACAACGACGACAACACACAAAAGTGAGACACCTGTCCAACTTTCACAACTTTGACCTTCAATCATCTTTATTATCAGCTGGATAACCAGTTTGATGAGCAGACCGGGCGACTTGAGAGGACTTTTATTTTATTTATTTATTTATATTCATATTTATTATTCTAGTTAGCAATTATCAATACCCTTCAGCATTCTCAAGTGTCGGGTATCTTTCGGAAGTACTCATCATGCTAGGTACCATAGGAGTGCGTCGTTAGATGTACGAATCACATCAGTGACCACATCCATTTGCTCCTGATATTTTAGTCTTACGCAGATGTAACCTTGGAGTCCTCTTTTTCTTTGTCAGTCATTGAAGTTTCTTAGATCCTGCACGTATGTACCCATGTTTGTGTTATTATGGCCTCTGGGCATTTTGGTTTCGTGGGACACGAAGTACTCAGCGACCCCTCGAGGATTACTGGCGCTCGCCTTACGCTTGTTTCTGCCTTCACTCTGTTCTTCTTCACCATTCATCACCTTCTTCATCAAGACTCAAGAAGAGAACATCTTCATGAATACTGGTCAAACAAAGAAACGAATATCAGTGAGGACAGATTTTTGGAGAACAGTGAAACTGAATGCAAGCCTTGGATGTGAAGTTTCGAAACGGTGCAACTGATAGAGAATCAATGGAAAAAATCTCGAAGGAACGTGAAGTACAGTAACTTACAGCAAGGGATCAAATCATCCCGAGCTCACATGACGACTTCAGGACCTACACTCGCACGGCACGGGGCCAAGCAAGGGCCGCCAACTTGGCAACTTATGCAGATTCCTGGCTTACCCAAAACAGAAATCACGATCGAGAAATAGAAGTTCATCGGCTACACGACAATATCTACCGCTCCCTGCGAGATACATGGCTGGACTATATTAAAAGATCATGGTGCTTGAAATTGGTTCAAAGTTTGTTAAATCAAACTAGACTTGAATGGCAAGATATTCGGCATGATGTATGTTGTCATATTTGCCAAGGACCTAGGATTCAAAGCTCCGAGACCACATTATGCTCTTGAATTGCAGCTGTAAATCACGTGCCACTTAGTTTTCCTGCTTCCATTCTTTCATCAAGGTACCTTTGCAGAAAAAATAACATCAGTGGGACTTGAGCTGTTTCCAGGAATGTGTTTTATCTCGCAGATAAATCATATATAATAACGTACAGTCCCACTGGGAGCAGCGAGAGCGAGTAAGATAAAGCTTTTTCCAAACGTGGAGCTGCAACTTGGCACATTGCAGATATATTTTATTTATATATTTCAGTGGTCGATGTGAGTACGAAAGGTGCCCCCATCCCTCCCTCCCTCTCTCTTCCTGGTATGGCCCGAGATTTACCTCGACGTGGCCCAAACTCGGTGGTACGAACCGAACCGCAGTGCGAGTTGTAAAAGCTCGAGCATCTGCAGATGGCAGTCCAGGCTCAGACAGACAGCTTACCGGGTCCAGAATCCAGATGCGCCTAGACTCTGAGACCTGACGTGGCAGCTCGCAGATAATCTACAATTGTGAATCGGTTAATTGGCCCAGAACATTACTGCAGACAGACTGTGGGAATCTGGGTCATGAGGTTACGCAAATGGTGCGGACTCCAGGAGAAAAGTATCTGAAACGGAATGAAGACGAGGAGCTGAATTGGTCCGAGGAAGATGCGGCGAGAGTAATCGGACACCTCTGATTTTGGAGCTTTCCCACAAACATCCCACTAATTGCTGCTGTTCGGAGCTCCTGGTGGTTGGACCATCCTTGCAACTGGAGGCTCGAGGGAGGAAACTGAAGGAGAGGATCGAGGAGGAGAATGCAGAGGTGTCCGGCTCGGCTTGTTCTTCTGGCATGGAGGCAGGAGAGAATGACAATATAGCAGGCGAAGGATGTGGAGTATTGGGCATGTGGTGAAGGTGGTACACCTATCTGGCAATTGCAGATAATGCGAACTAGATGACAATGGAAGAATTTTGGATTTCAGGAAAGAATTGTTTGCTGATTCACCTCGCACACGCCATCGCGGCAGAATCAGGACGAGGAGAGAAACAGGGAATCCTTGTACAATCTGTACACGGACTGCGAATGGAGGCTGCGAATAGTCTGCAACCGCCGCTGTGGTAGAGCAGAGGGTTTGCAGTAATTTTGTGGAAAGAGTGAAGAACTGAATTTCAAGAATCGTTGCTGACATATCTCGAACGAATGGCATAGCAACTCATAAACAGGGGTCAATGCTGCACTTCCTTTCACGGATCCTTCTCGTACTCATCTGGAGCTCAATTTAATCCTGTCATCAGCGTTATAAGTCGGGGAAGCATGCTGATATCCCACTTCAGACTCGATTCGCGCTTCAGAACTGGACTTCCTTGCCCCAAACCTCTCCCACCAGCTATTGTACCTTGCCACTGACAGTGGAACCCGCCGAAGCAGAAGCACCTCCCACATTCGCACGAAGTGCCATCGAAATAGACGAATCCACAGAAGAAGAGGAGCAACCCCGACTCTAATACGTGAACGAGCATCGAGGCGGGGGTAATTTTAGGCCTCGAGCGAACGCCTGGTGCATGCTCAACCTTCGATGCTCTGTGGTGAAATACGACGGCAGCTCATCGTGACTCCAGAAGTGAAGAAAACGGTCTTGAGATTTGGACAGGGACCTTGTAGTTTACAGGAAGAACGGGATTGGCGGACAATTGATGGGTCGTTACCGATGGTGCTGTGATTGTCATGCAGAAAGCAAAGAGACTCTGATGACGCGATAGAATCCTGGAGCTCTTTGGTAACAGGAACGCTAGAATTCTGTCCGGGGAGAGCGATGCAGATTCTTCGAGTTGCAGAGTTCCCTCTCGCTCGGCACTGTACAGTCTTGACCCGGAATTTGAGGGTGAGCGAAGCAGTGCTCGATGTAGAGTGGATCAGCCTATGGAAATCGTGCGCCATCTCGCTACTAGCTGCAGTTGCAGTAGCAGCCCAGTCTGACAGTCAGTACTGACGGGGAACTCGGCCGGGGGCGCAATTTGGCAGCTATTTGCCTCGAAGCAGAAACCGGACACAGCAAGACGATCCGTGGCAATTTGATCCATCTGGTTCGCTTGCGAGGGGTGAATGGCCAGGGCAACCTTACAGGAAAGACGAGGCTCATCGATGAGAGTCTAAATGTGGACTATGTATAAAGGAATAGTCACGATGGAGGAGAGTACCCAAGAGGCGAATGGCGAGGAAGAGGCCAACCTAGCAAACGAGCTTCCCCGTCCACGCCTTCAGGTTACTCGTGCTGTTATCATGGTAATTCACTCGTCTCCTCTCAAATCAATATGTATTTTACAGAAATTCTCTGATGGATCTGTCGTTCAATCCCGTTGTCACTCACAGGAATGAGAACAAACTCAACTCCATGTTTGATTGTTTAGTCCAGAGGACCCTCCTCTGCCAAACTATCGCTTTCAGCGATGGGCGAGCTGCATGAACGTGTCAACAGTTTGACAGAGTAGAGTCGACATCAAGTTGAAACGAATCTTACCTTCTCGAATTCGTCTCACTTTTGCATGACGTGATGGGAGAAACTTGTGCGACAGCAGACATGGCAACCGATATATTCTCATCCGTGCTATAGGTCCATAAAATTACATTACTAAAAGTGAATAACCTTCGCTTCCAAGGACCGTGTAATAGGCGCTCAAGATTCTGTGAAACATTGACTTGCTAATAAGCAACTGAATCTGTTAAATCTAATTGTGGATGCCGACACAGCCTGCACTCACTGATCAGCGTCTGAATTGCTCTTGTGCCTGCTCTCTGCAGACAATGCTGCTCATGCTGGTGGGACTGTTGGCTTTTTGCGTGTGGTTCTTCGCTTACAGCGCTCCCAGGTATGATACGAGTCGCTTTCGTTGATCCTCGGTTCTTCTGCCTCCTCTATTTTGTTCGTCTGGCTTCAATTTACAGATTTCCTGTTTACAATAATCACGGTAGTTGTGCATTATGACGTCCAAGGAAAGAGGATCAGGAGTTTTAATCTGATTCACAAGCACCAGCAGCTCAGCCAGTTGGGCGCGAGCTGAGCTTGGCGGGGAGCAAGTACGCTGCCGAACATGTGTAATTTATGTAAAGGAACTCGCTCGAGTTTGAAGCTCTCAATCTTCAGCATGAAACTTAATTCAATATCGATGGGATTATATTTGCAGGCTATCCGGTATTGAGGTAATGGGTCTCACTGCATCATTGCGTAAAGAGATTCTGGATAGCACGGTCGAAATCTTGGACGAAGTCTTCCGCTGGAATGCGTATGGGGCCAGGGCACTGGCTGGAATGCTGGAGAGGGACCTCTTGGGAGACGGCTCGAGTCTGGAATCTTTTGAGAAGGTGGGGTTTCGAGATCAATGGTCTTTCAGTCCCCAGCATAGTCAATGGATGATGATCACCTCCGCACAGTTTGCGGTTCCGGGCGTCATAACCAGACTGTCCTCGGTCCACAGCAGCAGATCGATTGATAGGTTAAATGATTTGTGTTTTGTCAAGGGTCGACTAATCGATCGTACATTCTCTCACTGATTGCTGTCGTCTACTCGATGGAACCTGCAGATTCGCGCAGCATCGTTCTCCGTTTTCAAAGCCATTCCACTCATCACATCAATCGGTGCAACAAATATCAATGGACTGACAGGTCTTCACGTCCGCGGGGGCCTGAACCCAACCGACAGAGACACAGGGAAAACGGCTCCGATCTACATATACACGAAGAGCACCGATTCGAGTCCCAGTTTTTACATCGAGAATTTGGATATGGACACAGGAGATGCAGTTGGAAGCCCCCTCGAGTTTCAATTCAGGGAGCACTTTACGGAGAGGAAGTGGTTCCATGCAGCCCTGTCAGTTCCAATGGGAGACATCTCGTGGCATACGTCTCTCAGTCAAGCCAGTAAGCAACTGCTCGAGTCCTCTCTTGCCTGGGGATGCTTATCAATTTGTGGCATGGTCGATGACAAAGTTGTCACACGCTCTCGAGACTGAATTCGGGCATGTGCAAATTTCTTGCTTGGCAGGTGGAAGACCTTACATTCAGTGCTCCATTCCCGTCTTGTCCAAAGAGTCTGAGGAGGTGACAGTAGTACACTGCTCTCACAGCGCCGACGCCATCACCAACTACCTGTCAAATGCCCTCGACCTGAAAGGTAAGTTGGCGCAGTCTGTTGACCTTGGATCGCATGCCCAACTCTAGCAACCACCGTCGTGACATTTCCTCGAGGAACCTGTACGTTCGTTGACACTCGTGACCCGTGCACAGGTGGCAACGTGTTCGTAGTCAACGACGTGGGGGAAGTAGTCTTCACGTCAGAAGGAGAACATTGTCTGAACAAGAACACCAGCCACTCGAGTGGGTGCGAGGACAACTCCGAGGTCGTGCGAGCTCTGGGTTACATACAATCACAAATGGATGTGACAGAGTTGGTGCAGGAGGAGGTTCATCGTGCTGATGTTCTCCTGCGAGGTCGACGATATTTTCTCGATAGCTGGCCCTACTCTTTCGAGGGCGCCAAGCTCGCGGTCGTCGTGATGATTCCTCGACACAGCTTCTCGGGGCCCATGGACTCGCATACCCGCCTTGCGTGGATAGCCATCCCGTTGTTTGTCGCTGGATCCAGTTTCGTGGGGTTTCTCCTGATTTTCCTCCTCATGGGACATGTTGCTGCCGACATCAAGCTCAGAGCTGAGCTTCAGCGGCAGGTCGAGGCCAAACGGAGAGCAGAAGCCAGTCGAGATGCGAAAACTGCCTTCTTGTCTCACATGAGGTTGGTATTGGTAAGACCTTCCACCAGGTTTTTGTGCTGAGAGAGTCGATCAGATTTTTGATCGATGGTGGAAGTCCGTCTGTGATTTTCACGAGGATTAGCGCCAGAATGAAGGGGCCCAGCTGTGCAGCTTCAGTCGTCTTTTATGCTCAGAGGTTCGTCGATCTTGGAGGTGTATCAGTAATCTGACGAACTCGTGCACATGTGTTTTCCTGTTAGCCATGAACTGAGGACACCGATGGCCTGCATTATCGGACTCCTGGAAATATTGATGCAAGATTTGAAGATGTCGGAACACTTGAGCAGTGTGAGGCAGGTGCATCGATGCGCGACCTCTCTGGTCGACCTCCTCAATTCAGCCCTCGATATAGCCAAGGTAGTTTCATGAACTTTCAGGAGACCCTCCTTCCATGTGCCGGAGAAGAATCTGGCGCTGGCTGCTTGAAAACTTATCAAAACTTTCTTCACTGGTGCGATTCCTTGGAAGACAGATGCAACGTACTGATCACTTTTGCTGTTTCGAGAAGGTCGAGGCGGGGAAGCTGGTGCTCGAGGTCAAAGAGTTCGACATCGAAACTGAACTTACGAACCTCATCGAAGTATTTTCAGTTACGTGTGACACTAAGGGCCTGCATCTCGCACTCGAGCTTTCAGGTGATTGCTGCAGTGAAAATTTTATTTACTTCCATGTCAACTTTGGAGTGAGCAACACCGAGGCCTTGTTTTGGAATCTCTGTAACCACATTCCTTAGCGAAGGAAGCTTGCTCTCGGATTTCCGGTAGATGAAGAGCTTGCCCGAGGGACTTGCATCTGTCATATGAAACGGCCTTCCTGCCGCACCCAGAGTTTTCACTGGATGCTCGTCCGGTACTGCAGATGACATTCCGAAGCTGGTGAAAGGCGATCCTGCTCGCGTAAATCAAATCTTCACAAATTTGGTCGGAAACAGCATAAAATTCACCTCAAAAGGCCGGATCATTGTTCGTGGCTGGGTAGATACTCGAGACACAGAGCCAACGGAGTTCACTACGACAGCGCTCGAAACTGGCAAAAACCAAGTGGTTTTGACGTTCGAGGTGGATGATACGGGCCCTGGCATTGAGGAAGGTACTCACTCATTCTCATGAATTTGAAAGCGGTACCTAAATGTTCAACTTTTATTCGTAAGCCAGAATAGAAGTTGCGAGCCCAGCGTTTAGGATTGGTTCAAATTCTTGAAGCTAGGAATCGTTTGACCTGACTTTATGCTGACAACTCTGCAGACCTGCGGGAAAGAGTGTTCGAGAATTTCGTGCAAGGAGCTGTCAGCGTCCCGCGCACGTAAGTGCCCATGTAACGCGCTCAAGATGAGTTCTTGTGAATGAGAAAAATGCTCTCATCACTTTGAGTGAGAGCATGAAGCTTACGCTCGTTCATAGTCTTAACTCTAGATCCTTTCTTTTAGTGACAACATGAGAAATTAAGATCATCCTGATTTACATTCACTCAGTAGTCAGTGTAACTTCAACACCCATCTTACGCAGAAAGGTCACGTGTTGTGGTGGTATGCAGCCATGGAGGCACTGGACTTGGGTTGGGCATTGTGCGGTCGCTGGTTAACCTGATGGGTGGAGAAATCCACATCGGCGACAAGGCTGGCGATGGAACTGTTTTTCGGTTCTCTCTGTGCTTTGATCTTCCTCCGGATCAGAAGAGCTCTCGTCGTGAGATTCTGAAACGTCCTGATGTCATTCTGGGGATGCCAGACACCGACTGCAGGTCCGTCGTGGCGAAATGGATGGAAGATCGCAGGATACCGGTTCTCGAAGTCAGTTCCTGGGAAGATGTCCTCCTTCTGATCGATGTCAGGAGATTAGCTCCAAATGGATGGAAGCTCGACGAGAGAGCCCCTGCCCTTCGCAAGGATGATGCAGGTGGGGAATTTGCAAAGCCTCGGAGCTCTCCTGCACGCCATACTGGACCAGTAAGGAGAGCGAGGTCTGCCGCCGCCACCAACGACCACAGGAAGCCTGTGTTGATCATAGATGTGGACCTGTGTCCGCTCTACGAAGACGAGAATGACTATCTGTTGGCGTTTGAGCAGCTTGGCCTCATTTCAATCCGTTCTAATCAACAGGGGCAGGAGGAGGCTCCCGGCCATCTCAAACAGAGGATCCAGTTTTGTCAAGCAGCAAAGTTTCACGCCATCATCTGGGTTATGGCTTCTTATACTCCGGATTCTTTAAAGAAAGCGTTGTATTTACTATGTAATGCCACCTGTAGATCTCTTTTAGTTAGACGACCACTTCATCCAACAAGACTGCGAGAGCTCTTCAGTGAGCTGGAATTCAGAGAACAGAGCTTTCAGACAGAAGGCAGAAGTGCAGTCACTTTGAGGCCAGCAAATCCAGGTCCTTCTCCTGTAAATATAGGGAAACAGTGTGGGCTAGGAACCTACGATAGTGATGTTGACTCTTGTCTTACGAAGGGTGTCCCTGTCGAAGGAGCAACTCGTGCACCAGACGGTAGTCCAGCGTTGGAGACTACGACGGACACGGCTGCTCCACTTACTTCTTCTCCGGAGACGAGCAAGGCGGAAGTTGAGAGGGTACCACAAAACCCGCTCATCAGAACGAACTCGGACGACGCGCAGAAATATGTAGGAAAGTCAGAGCAGTTAGTGGCAACGAAACCCCTGCGAGGACTGAGCGTCCTAATCACGGAAGATCATGGACTCCTTCGCAAAGTTGGCGTCACCATGCTCGCCAAGCTTGGCGCTACGCCCTCTCTTGCCTGCAATGGCCGAGAGGCAGTGGAAGCTGTGGTTTCCCGATTCGAAAGTGGAGCTGCTCCGTTTGACTGCATTCTCATGGACTGTCAGGTGATTCAGCCTTTCCTCCCTTCTCATCCAGCGGCTCAGAGGATGGACTTTCCGACCTATCTGTCTGGTGGATCTGTTGTCTCGTACTCAAAGTGTCAGAGACGATCGAATCTGACGATCAATTAGTTGCTTCATACGTCTTCTTTGCGTTTCTCCTTCGGTGATGCCATGAGTTTGAGTCTGGCTCGAGTGCTTTGGGTTTACGTCTGCAGTGGAGATCATTCAGGTGCTTTAGAAGTCATGCATCGCTCTCGTGCACGCCGCAGGATTTAGGCTGTTGCTTTCTTTCTTCACCTATTTCTGAGTATATCACTGCGCCGAGAGTTGGTATTAACACAAGGATATCCGACAGAGTTTGCTGAAGAGCTCATGATGTGTCAGGATCTGTTGTCAGATTTCCGAGGTTTTATCGTAGCAAGCATCTTATACACGGAAATCTCGATAAGGCTCGTGCTCTAAGGCAGTGGTTGGTTGCCTCAACAGATGCCGATAATGAATGGATATGACGCATGCAAGGCGATTCGAAAGTTTGAAGGAGACAAGGACCAACGCACCTGTATAGTTGCCCTGACAGCGAATGCGATGGCCAGCGATGAGGAGCGGTGTTTTCAAGCGGGCATGGACGCCTTTCTGTCCAAACCTATGACACAAGAGAAGCTGGTCCAAGTGATGTTAGCGAGCCTGAAACAAAATGCTTCAAACGTCATCGAGGTGACGTGAAGCACTGCAGGAAATATTTCCCAAAATTCCAATTTTGTATTATATTGTTGATTGAGTGTATTGTAGTCTGAGGTGATGTTTATACATGAATCCTCCCTTTTACCATGGAGGACCGGTCTGTACAGCATTTGTGAACAAGTCAATAAATTTTTGAGAAACAAGAATAAGCCCACTAGGGCTTTTACAGACGCAAGGAGTCTCAAGATGAGTGTTTCCTCATCTTCTGCTGTTTGTCGTTTTATTATCTTTTCCAATTATCCAAGTACTGAGTATCGATATCATCCGACTAGACTCCTCTGTACATGTACGCAACGCTCCGTTAGAGTTCGTTCTTCAGCCGATATGTGGGTAATTCATCGGTTTAAATTGGACCTGTATTTCTCACACCATCACCATTTCTTCCTATGATCAACAGCCGCCGAGAAACCGCCGGTTACACGACTGTCTGAGGTTGTTAGGTGGTACTGTCTGTTTGACGATACGAAGCTTTATCCATCTATTGGCCCATGTTTCATCCAGTTTCTGGATGTATAGAGTATATATAATTCGGTAACTCTACTGGGAAAGTGCTTCATGGAAGAAGACCTCTTCAGGCACGAGTGAAGGCATGCAGTGGCCACCGCCTGAAGCAGTGATGTTCAGTCTGGTTAAGATCGTGCAACAAGTAGAAGAATATTGTATTCACGGAGGAGGAGGACCTTGGAAAAGCCCATTGAGGCATATGATTAAAGACAAAGGGAACGGGCAAAATCCCTGACGAAAATGCTTTTCTTCCAAGACTTCATGAGCTGTTTGCTCGGACAACAAGGGAACTAAAGGATAGAGAGGATTGTTAAAAATTAGAGCTAGAAATAAAACATTCCGCAAAGGAAAACGGCAGCACCGCCAAAAGGCACAAGGTTGAAAGAGTCACCATCATGTTCACCTTAAACTCTGATCCCTGTTCTCTTATATGTGATGCGTTCAAGTGTCAAATTTTCAGCATCAGAGTCTCCAAAGACCGTCCGTCATCTTTCACGGAGATTTGATGTGATCAACTTAGTCTCGTGTAGACTATGCAGAAGATCGTCGATGCAAGACAGAGGAGTCGAATAGTACAAAGCGACCGGGTATCTGCTACCGTGTCCTTTTGCTTGACGAGGGCCCCTCTAACATATCCCGCACACTCCCTGGAATTCGATCCGACCAAGGCACCACCGAACGTCCATCGCATCCTGGTTCTGGGAGTAAGTACGTGACCCACTTGTTGTCCTAATTAAGGATGTAATAAGGGACAGTTGTCACCAGGTGCGCTCATTGTTCACCTCTTTGCTGGAGTATGCGGAATTGCCACTCTCGCGGACGCTTTAGCAGAATCAAGTGACTCGAGGAAGGAGCATGAGAGGACGAACCTGCCGAGCAGAGTGTCAGCGCCAGCTCGGAAGAAGATTGTAAGCTACATTGAGTTTGTGACTTGACTGATTTCGGCGTTTGAATTCAGGTTCGGACTCAATGAACTCAACAGCAAAATGCCTTGATTTGTTGTCATCAATCTCTTTCGATCGCATGCGATGCTGGCTGGAGCTTTGCTGTTATGCCCGATTGCTCTCCTGTAAAATCTAATCGACAAATTCGAGTTTACATAATGTGGGGTGAGCATGATGCCGGATCTTTGCTGTTTGATTGGAACTTTAAAACCATGAGTTTCCGGCCTTATGAGATCGACAAACGGATTGAATGTGTTTACCGTCTTCCTTCTCTGCCAGTTTAACTACAACGCACGAAACCAAGAGTTTCGTCCCGTCAGCTGCCCACAACCTGATCCTAATCTCGTGGCTGAGAAACGCCCGGGACCTTCAGACTTTGCAACAGAGCAGAGCTCTGCTCTGTTGATTCCGTCATCCGTGAATTGAAGGCATAGCTAGAAGCATAAAATTGCAGGGCAAAGGCATTCACGGATGCAGGTGCTCGTAAATTTATGATAGCTTGCCAGTAGTAACCTTGCTGCAGTTCCATCCTTTTCTTCAGTAGTTATACCTCGGTCCCGTTCTGGATCCTGAGGTGGTGACAGTCGAGGATAAGGTTTACTCTGCCAGTCCTGAGACCTATGAGTAGGTCTGAGCATACTTCAAAGCCATGAGTCTCTCTCTTGCGCTTGTGGCCGTAAGTAAGAACCGATTCGAAGGACAGTATCTTCCCGTACAGTGATGTAGATCATTCTGAGCGTCTGCATAATTTTTGGAAACGCAGTGAGCGTTCCAGACTTTCCTGACAGTGGATTTCGTAGAGAATTCTGGCATCTTAGATACCAGTACAGGTTTCCACTTGTGTCGTGACCTCATGGTAGGAAATGAGATCTCACAATGCTCCGAAGAGATCATTATGCAGAAAAAATATACCTTAATGGAGCATATGAATCATCTAACCGATTGTGCAGATCATTCTCAGCGACTGCAAAATATCCGGAAAAGCGGTAAGAGTTGTAAAATTTCCTGACAGTTGTTGGTCTCGAGGACGAGTCTGGCCTCGTAGGCACCACTACAAGCTTCTATCCGTGCGTTCTCCTGATGTTGAATCAGTTGTTGACAGTACTTCGACCTACAAGGCGTAGGAGACTCCCGGTCTGGCAAACAGGGCAGGGATTCAGGAAACTGCTATCGGGGTGCGAGCTTGATGTTGGGACCGGAAGCGAGGCTCGGGCACTGAGAGGAACGTGCGAGGGTGCTTTGTTTTCTGCAGATCATACATCCGAGCACGCATCGCAGGAGCCAGAAGAAGAGGAAGGGGGTGGTGGGGCAAGATGAGTCTGCTGACGACCGACCTGTGTGACGCGAACATGGACAGGATTGCGGACGGGAGAGTGCTCGTCTTAGCTCCGCTGTTCAAGAGCTATGGCAAACGTGAACACTTCCACGGCCCTGTCACGACGCTCAAGGTGTTCGAGGACAACACTTTGGTGCGCAAAGCGCTGGAAGAGCCTGGGTCCGGCAAGGTCCTCGTGGTGGATGGCGGCGGCAGCCTCCGGTGCGCGCTGCTCGGTGGGATGCTCGCCACGCTCGCCCGTCAGAATCTATGGGCTGGCATCATCGTCAACGGCTGCGCCCGTGACGTCGATGAAATCAACAGCATCGACATCGGCGTCAGGGCCTTAGCATCGCACCCTGTCAAGAGCTTCAAGCGAGGTCAAGGAGAACGCGATGTCCCCGTTGTTTTCGCCGGTTGTCGAATTCTACCCGGAGATTGGTGCTACGTGGACAACGATGGAATTGTGATATCTGTGGGTGGTGAAAAACTGCACAAACTCGCTTCTGCGATCTGATCAATCGATTGATCGATATGTCTGTCTGTCTGTCTCGAGCTCTCGACATTCATTTGCTCGTTAGCACGTCTTCTCTTCCCAGCTGAAGTTCTCCAGTGATGGGTGAGGAAAGAGCAGAGGCAAAAGCAAGAGGCTCTGAGGACATGGCCACGAGAACTCCTGCTGTGCAGAAAAGATGTCAGTTTGGAAGCTGTGCGGGGGAGGATGGTCCAGATCATCGTCTTTTGTTCTTTCAACGAAGCGTTGGTAGAGCGAGTGAGTGACTTGTCTGGTGTGATTCTCCCCACTAGGGCTCTGATCTTATGATCCACTTCTCATTTGAGCAAAAGCTTCAAAGATAACGCGTCCTTCGCAACTCTTTCGTTTTAAAGAGTTCCTCGAGCAAATCACACTTCTGCTTGTTCTTACTCTTATTCTCATTCTCGGTGCTCTTGTATTCCATGTCGTCCACTTGTGTTAGTAGGCACAGGATGCCATCTTTGAGCATCATTTATGCAGCCTTCATCAAACGTGCACTGTATGAAATTATTTTTTTGTCTTTGAAGAACTTTCTCTCACCTTAACTTATCCTCATGTCGCAATACAGAGAAGTAATAAGGCAGAGTAGTCTCCTCTAATTTGGGTAATATCAGTTCGCTCCCAAGGAATGCTTAAATGACATAACCAATACACAACGGTGAGCTTCAGGTTTTTCAGGTTTTAGTCTTTATACTCCGTGTCGGAAGAGTTAGCAGAACAGAAGCTCTGTTCATGTATTCTACAAGACTTCCAATCCCATGAATTGTGCACACAAGGACTCCATCGGTGAACCAACTGTAGCAGATTCATTCCTCTTGATGGGTTTGTCTCACTTAAGAAGCCAGAAGTAAGATGTTTGATGTGCTTGATGCGTTTTCCTTTGTTCATTTGCGGACACATCTCGGGGGCAACTCCAATCAGAGCTATTTGGACACAAACATATCAGCCTGGCATTATTCCTAATTTATATTTGCTATGATTGTAATGCAATCGATTGAATATTTTGCAAAAGAAGAAATGTATCAGCTTAGGTCTTTAATCCTATTTGTACAGACCTGACTCCTAACTGTCATGTACACTAAACAAGCACTCTTAAGCTCATATTGCCTTAGTCTCTTTTTCCTTCCCATGAGTTTTTCTGCGGATCCACATTTGCATCTCCAACACATGTGCCACGATCTTATGTCGACATAGATTTGTCACTTAATATAAGTCTTGTCCAATAGTCCAATAGCCATGTGGAATTCAATCTGATCCTCGAGATCTCCATGACGGTTCATACTAGGTATCAATATTGCCATTTGTCTAGCATTCTCTGCTTCGCACTAGACGAAAAGGGTTTACAAGCATCAATTGGCAAAAGACCCCAATGAAGCGAGTGGTTCCATGTAAACTTCGTTCATACGTTGTTGTAAAGCCTCCACCTCAATGGATCACATCGCACATTTTGCTTGTAATAATACTCGACTAGTAGTTAAAGAATGCAACATATGTAATATTTTTCAAAAGAATAAGCAAAGCGCTCACGTTTATCTTTGTCTAGCATTTGAGTTATATAAAAATGGATAAAAACATTGAAATATTTGGAGAGTATGCATAAGACTAGTTGTCAACGGTATCATTTTCTTCTGTATATCGTGTACCGTGTCTAGCTAATAGGTTTACATTGTTCTGCAGAGAGCAATGCTGATCAATTTACTAATGATAATTAAATTTTTGAAGATCATATGCAGATGAAACTTAGAATGATCAGTCTATTTGTGGAAAGTTTGAACCTTATTGTAGAATACCTTAGGTTTGATAAGGACATGTAAGCTACAGTGAAACTCTTGGTATATAGCCCTTGGTTCATTGGTTTCATTTTTTCGTTGTTGAGTTTGATTGGATTCGGCATACTTCCTTTCTTATGTACTTGTTCCCACGATGTATTCACACTTACATAGATGTCCCACTATCTACTAGTAATGATTTTATTTTCATTACAAAAAGTTGGAGGCTAATTTAACTTTTTATGATCCAAAGGGATCATACATATTCACATATATACTATTTAGTGGAATATGTTATTTTTTATCATGATGAAACATGATAAATAACAAGATTATGTGGTGGTTATAATCAGATACATTTGAATTTGAACTTTCAAGATAATTCTAGAGAGGCCTTGTTTTGAAAGCTTTGGTTTCTGGCAAGTCATATTGAGTTGTAGACCTGATACAGTGAAATCCTGGTTACATTCCGAATCTATATTGTTATTATCCCATTTACATGCATTGATGTTAGACAATGCACTAGTCTCGTGGACCTTCTTATGACTTTTCATTGTCAAGCTTAACAAATAAGCCATTGCCATGATGTTTTCAAACTAGTAACAACGAAAGAACCAGTTTGTTGGGTGGTAGTATCTTCTACGTACCAAATGCAATAATAGACTGGAAAAATTCTTCGCTTCTATCGTGTAATCAAAAATCACCATATTGAGAACATTTCACTTCTTTGAGATCTAATTTAATGTGAGACTTTGGAAAAAGCCTAAATCTACACCCAGTTAGAAAAATTGTTAATATCCCATACTCTGAGTATTTTGCCTTCCGACGGCCAAACCTTCCCGAGGAAGAAAAAACAAAATGTCCTCGACTTTCTGGAATGTTGGCACTTTTACGAGCTACATCAATCTTCATCCTTCCATCTGTTGTCTAGTCTACTCACCAGAGCCAGACAAATAGCCTCGTCCTTTTCTCAGCGAACTGTTGATCTGTACACTTCTCATTGAAGGTGTCGTTTCACTTCTCGGCCTTCCTGTGTCTGTCACCAATGTCAGTTTGAGTGTAGTGATATGCTCTCGTGCCATCTCCTGATTATGGAGATGGACAATAAACCTTCGTAGGTTTTCCTGGATCTTCGTGGATTGATTCCCAGCCCAGCAAGTATAACCTTTGCCCATCGTCTCATGCTCCCGTTTGCTATCTCGTTTCTAGCTAAGATCTGCTTGCGTCATATGTTTGGGAGTAGTTTCTTCAATTTATTTTCCAGAACTATGACTTTAGATATCCTCATCCCTTGCGCTTTCTGTTGATCCCCGAGAAATCTCCTCTCACATGTTTCATACCTCTTGTGTAGAGTATCCGTGGATCGTCCCGGAATTTCTCTATGTTCTCCACGATGCTCTGTACTCCGTCGACTGTAGCTTTATTCTCTAGCACCGTCGTGCTCCATTTGGCAGAAGACGGGCTTGCCATGGGTTCCTCCTCTTCCTTCCTCTATACCGAACTCAAATTCGACCGACACAGGCAAATGGTCTGCGAGCATCTTCCCTGCATGGCGATTCAGACCAGAGGCTGCTGCTATCCATCAACATCGGGAGAGACATGAATACAATCCAATCTTGCCCACTTTGTTGAGCCTCTATGGCTGATCGAGCGAGTGTGGGGAATATGCTCATATTCCTCCGGTTCATCTGTCGAACTTTCATTTTCTGCTGACTTGATCACCTCAATCGCAGCGTCTGCCTGATCCTCTGTCTGGATACTCCCTTATTATTATTATTATTGTACTACGTTCTTGAATTTGATGATTTCTGAACACTTGCATCACCTACACAGATCTCTCTCTCTCTCTCTCTCTCTCTCTCTCTCTCTCTCTCTCTCTCTCTCTCTCTCTGACGCTTATGTTCAGGGTTGACTTTTATGTCGGAAGTTAGTTCGCCGTAAATCGCCGAAGTTTTGGTGTTTTAGCAGCTCCCATCTCCTCTCGTCTTGTATCTGTCCCCTCAGGCGTCTGCCTGCCGTCTTCCCCATCCTCGTTTCACGCCGATGCGGTGCTTGTCCTGCCCGGTCGCCTGATGGAGCTTGGACATACGGCATCGTGCTGCAAAACACCACTCGTCCCATCGTTTCCTCTTCCCGTCACTTCGAGGCAAATCTGCTCTCCTTTGCTGCGTCTCCATGATTTGGTGGCCATCCATTGTCGTGGTCGTCTTCTATTCTGCCAGATCTGCTGCTGCGTTGCTTGTGCGAGGGAGAAGTAGTACTTTTGGCCCTCAAGTCTAAGAGAGGATGCAGCTGTTCGCCCGGCAAGGTTTCCTCCTGCGCCTTATCACCTGCACCATTTGCGCAGATTGGTATCTGCAGGGTTAGTTCTCTTGACTTGCATCTGCGCAGACGAATTTCTTCTTGGCACCTGCCCCGGCGTAGGCGTCGTGTAGTGCGGTCTAAATCAGTGCTCACCTCTCCTCTCCCAGTTCTAGGCCATTTGGCTAGGCTGTCCCGGGGTTCACCGATCTTACCTCCAGACCTGTGAGACCTTCCTACGGGGGAGACGCAACATTGAGGGGTCTAACCCTCTACGAGCCACCAAAATCTCTGGATCTGCCAAGGTCAGACGATAGTGGGGACATCAGTCTTGAGGGTGGCACTTGCTTGTGACTGGCAACTTTTATCATGCCGGGTGTTTACAAATCAAATCAATCCGTTTCTAGAGCCCTGACTTGTATCACCGATGTGCTAAGTCTTCCATGTATCAGAAGTTTTAGTAGTGTAATCCTGTTTCTGAATGTCTGAGCTTCTACGTCGTCCATGTTATACCGGTCGGGGCCGAAGCCTGAGTCTACACCCACCCCACGGACCGCCAACCAAGAGGAGTGGCAACTGCACGTCATATTGGCAGCGAGCTCATCCCATGGCTATGCTGGCAACGGTGAAAACTGTGCTGCCGATGAGTAGACATGCTTGAGCATCGGCCTCCTCCTAACTCATGTAGCGCAGTGGATGATGGTGAGACACTTGCTATGGGAAAGTGGGTTACAGCCAAGGGTCCAACAAGACGGCAATCGATTCTGCCATGAGGAAATTTGGTCCTCTTTTAACCCCTGAACTCGAGAATACTAAACCGCTTCAGATTCAAGTGCAGCAATGTCAGTGTTAGACTGCAATTCTTAAAACAAATATACATTTCTTAATTCATTTTGAAGCTAAATTGAAATTCTGAATAATCAATGAACTAAGCAGGAGAGGAATTTCGGTGCTTCAGATGGTGGAAAGCACAGCATTTCCTGCGTAGGTTTTCTGCCACAAAGATGTCTCGATCATTTCGATCTTCGAGCACTCGAGAAGCCTGCTCGATGCACACGTTTCTGAGCTCTTCCCCAAGCTTCGACGACAGCAAAGGCCTTGATCTCCTTCCGAGTCAATTGCTCGACATCGTCCGAGTTTCCCGATAATGTCGAGCCCAACTCCAATTCTCGTCTTTCAGCTCGATTGCTCATTCCCACGGCGTTCGAGTGGCGGCAGGTCCAGTGCGCACTCCAAGGCTCTTGTCGATTGCGATCCGTCCAGACCACAAGATCTTCGAGCGCCCAATCGCCCGTACAGCAGCAGAATCGATTCGGACACGTTTCGCCCAGCGCTCTCCTCTCGGTTCGACCGGTTCCCAGCCGGTCAACATTCCCTCGCACGCACGTACGCGAGCGTACGTTGTCTGCATATATTGGCCTCCCCGCACTTTCCGCCCGGAGCTGTCCGTACACCAGGAGATTCTTCGCGCGCTGCATGGGAAGTCTTCGGAGGGGGCCCTGCGCCCGGCCTGCGCTGCTCGCTCGACGGCCAAACCTAGCCCCGGCCCTGCTGCTAGGGATTCTCCTGTCGACTGACGAGCGTCGCCACGATCTATCTGCCGTACTACCCCCTCCCCTCCCCTCCCCCCGAGCTGTCAGACGAGATCTGCTCCACTATGCGCAGCGCGAGATCGCACGTAGAATTGAATCGGCTCGTCCAGCCATCGCCGACGCCATCGCCATTTCGGTTCGCGAACCCTAACGCTACGACAATTTTGTCTCGGACAAGAGCCGTACGGCGTCCAGCTCTCTGAGAAATTAGTTCCCCTGCTCGCAGCTCCGTCGTAGATCACAAATCCAGCTCTCGTAAAGACATGAATATTACCTGCTGCTGGCATTTCTCGAAGAATTGAGAGAATTCTCTGCCGGACCTGGACCTGGACTTGTGCCAGGGAGTCTGCTTTCGTTTCTGGTTTAGCCTCGTGCTTCTGTATTGCCGGCGGCTTGTGTGGGCGGGCGAGGTAGATTTCGAGCTTTCGGAGTTTGTCGGATTTGGAATGTTGGTCAATTGAGACTCGGGTGCTGGCTGTGATACGTGAGTTGGGCGGGAGGAATTTTCCATCGAGAGGCAGAAGAGAAGGGGGAAGTGCCTGCAGGGTTCATTGATAATTCGTACGATTGATAATTGTCGACAGGAGACTGCGATGAAGTTTTTGTTGGAGACGTGGAGTGCTGGAGCTCGAGCTGGGTTGCTTATGTTTGGCGAGCTGCAATTGGAAACCCCCTGCCTGCTAATGGTGACAAAAAAAGGTCTGCCAGCGCACATCACTCATGATTTACTCGAAAACGTGCTTCCTGATGCAGGCGCTCTGCAAATCAGCCCAATTCACTTGTAAGTTTTCGGGCATAGTATTGCACACTCTCTAATTTGACGCCCTTTATGCTTCTGGCACAGAGGATAACCTGTAGCAGGGGATGTGCGGGATTTTGTCTCCTTGCATTGATGTTCGCTACGTCACGACGCAGGATTGGACCACTCTCCCCTGTACAGAACAGAAACTTGGGTCCACGTGATTTTGCACAATGTTGGACGTCGTTGTGTAAACTTCATGCTACAAGTCGTAGAGAGCTAGGGGTCGGAGGTCCTTCGAAGGACGTAGATATGTTAACAATTGCACCTGTACCTTCATGCAAACGCTTTGACGTAGGAGAACGCTAGAGTCATGTCCTACAGCGTAAGATTGATGCTGCAGAATTGTTCAGATCATGGTAAATTGGTCAGATCATGTCCTGTGAGTGGCGCATTCGTCGATTTTACTGCAATGTGCAATGGTCAAATTGACCATTGCACAATTGCAATGGTCCCCTGTTTCGACATACTGTGCTGTTTGAAGATCTGATGCAATTTTCTGGTGCAATGATTAGTTTGGAGAGTCCTCCACCAAGTATCGTGGCTTCGGTCGGAGGAGTGCATAAGCTGCTCTCCCTGCAGAGGCGCGTCGTCGTTGGCATCGCCCGTGATAGCTTTGGCCAAGAAGCTGACGGCTTGAATGGCACCAAGTTTGGAGCTGCTTTCGAAACTTCCTCCGGACGCCGCGTGGTACAGACATTGTCAAGTCTTTGCAGTTTCGGGTGTCGAAAGGGATGAAATTAACGATCCTTACTGAAGTAAGGCGCTGCATTCGTTACTCATCATGGAATTGGGTGAACAGGTAGGGCCCAAGAAGTACATGGAAGCTATCAATGCATTGCGGCCAGATCTATGGGCGACACTGCCTGATGAAGTTCCCGCCTGGGCTACGACTAAACGACATCGGATGTCAGTTGACCGAACACTCCGGTGGCTAGACGATTGTCTCACGTTGAATGCTGTATGATGCCTTTCTTCCAACTCTAATTCCATGTTCCACGGAGCGTTCTTTTGTGAAGAGTTTTCGTTCCAAGGTGCCATCATGTTTTAACTCTTCGTCCCACCAGTTCTTCTCTGTTGTTTTTACAATTTTGCATCTGGATCGGGAAAATCGAGGTCTAGCTTTACGAGTCCACTGACATCTGATTGTTTCTTCTTCCAAGTGCATGGAAGCACTGAATTTCGGACAGTTCAATGTGGATTCCCTGAGTCTCGTTTTTCTGGGGTAGAGTTTTGACGAATCATCTTAGGCAGGTATTTAGCCCATCGTCCATCGTTGTTGTGTAACTGCCTTGTGCAGGTTCAGGACAACTCTGTGCTGGGCGTTGTCGTTGGCGGTTCCAATGTTGAAGAGCGCAAGCGATCTGCGGAAGCTACAGCGCGTCGTAATGTCTCAGGTGTGTTGAGCAATCCAACAAAATTTTGATGATCGTCTTCATTACGCAGTTCAATGAGAGTTAACAGGATGTGCAAACATTATACTGTGCCATCCAATTCACGAAAACTCCAGAGGTACGGACTGACGCTAAAGAATGCATGGAGTATGCATGGAGAAATAAGTCGCGCCAGGCAGTAGAAAGGAGGTCGCGAGTCTTTAAAACTACATTATTGAATGTGGATTAGGGACGTAATCATCTATTATCCGAACATTCTAGGTTTTTATGGTGTTTAAGAAGACAAACTAAGACCAGCGAATACTTTTTACATTGCAGGCTTTTCTCTGGGAGGATTCGGACTTGGTGAAATTCCTCAAGAAAGAGCGGCTTTATTGAAGTCTACTATTGTATGGCACTATATCTAGTTTGTTTTTGCAAGTCGCGAATCTGGTCTTTGAGTTTATGCTGTACGTACTTTTCATGATTCATTTAGTTTGTAGAAACAGTTTTTTTCAGTCAGCCATGCTGGTGAATGGTTTGTCTTTTTCGTTGAAAACTTAGTGTGATATCGCAGGCATACTTGCCCGAAGAGAAGGTACGACATGTCAGCGGCCTCGGAATGCCTGGTGAGTTTTGGTCAGTCTAGATGAATGTGACCCTGGATGACACTTAAGTACAATACTTGTAGGATGTTCAATAGATGAGTGAAAATCCTCGACATTACCAATTGTGCGCACAGGCTTTCTTGGTTGTGATGACATGACTGACTTGAGCTATTTAGATTCGTTGCGAGCGACCTATATCTCATTGCTGGACATTGCTGGATTTGTTCCATCAGAGGAGGTGCTGGAGGGAGTGGCAGCCGGGATTGACCTTTTCGATAGCACATATCCCCACAGTCTCACCATGAAGGGCTTTGCAATGACCTTTCCCCTCTGGATGGAGCAGCAAAATGGTTATCATCCACTTTCTGAGGAAGAACATGCAGCCGACATGGATTTGACCAAGATTGACTTGCACTCTGCGGTTCACAGGTAAGTAGGGTTAGTGCTGTTAGTTTCAAAACCAACTCTTGTGCAATCAAGTGATAATCAACGAGATCTTATATGCTGGAGAGATGAGGACATGCCTTTACCGAGAGTTGTAGACCCTCGAGTCACTAAGTTGACGATCATGTAGTAAGGAGGTGGTAGGACTTAGTTGTCGACGTTCCTGCAGATTATTTTGCTCGAACCGGATGATGAGCATAATGCTTCTACTTAAAAAACTTTGCTTTGGGTTTCTGGATCTCGTGCAGGTGCGATGTCAATCCCATTGTGAAAGGGTGCAAGTGCTATTCATGTCGCAAGCACACGCGAGCGTACATCCATCATCTACTAAACGTTCACGAGATGCTGGCACAAACTCTTTTAGACATGTGAGTTACTCAAATCTCCTGTAATTTCTTTCTTCCAGCTTTCTATGCTCTGATGCACACATCATGCAAGCAAGTAGTATTGATTTATCTCTTGTGCCGCATGTGGAACTAGCTTATTCAATATGAGTTCCATGCTCATCCCCACCATATTCGCTGGATTCACTGCTGTTTTTGTTAACTTGCCTGCACGTGTTTCTGCTGCAGCCACAATTATCATCACTACTTTAGTTTTTTTCGGGCCATCAGAACGTCCATTGCAATGAATAAGTTTCAAGCATTCAGAGAATGGTTCATGAGTAGACGGAGGTATATTGCCGGGGCCGATGCCATAAGTTCCAAACAATCAGATGATCTCCTGGTTGCAAAAAATGTTATAAATCATCAAATCTCCACTTAATGAACTTGAACGATGTATGGTCAGTTGTCTAGGTGTCCTGTGAAGGCCTGTGGATGTTGTCTGTTTGCCATTGCTTGTTGTGCGGCAGGAACTTAGTTTGTTGTTCGCGTTATGATCGGTCCGCCAAAAATGTACATGCTTGTAAACCTTCAACTAAAGAGTAAATTCTGCAAATTCAAATTCGAAGAATATATTATTGGACTCAGACCCTGTTCAGTGAAAAATCACAAAAAAAAACAAGACAGCCACTCTCGAGGGCGTATAGGCTACTTTCATGTGTTACCAGCAAGAATATGTCTCTAATCTTGCGCAGAAGGGTTCAAATTTCCTGTGAGCATGACTTTTTGAATCCATGGAAGTGAAGCTTTCAATTAGTGCAGCATGTGCACATTGAAAACTTATCTGATGATATTCGCTGGGTATAGTTATTGGGGCCGAGGAATTTGGGATGTTATGCTGACAACGTCCAAGGCAGCGGACGTAAGCATAATGTGTGCACGAGATAACGAGAAAAACCACGAGAAAAACAAGTTTAGATCTTACTGGCAAAGTAAATCCTAAAGTTTTCGTTCGTAGGTACGCGTTTGCAAAGTGAACCTTCACACCACCGGACTTCACTCTCTGCCATAACCGAAGTACATGAGGAGAAGATTGATAATCTTCTCTTCATGTATCTAGTACCTAGTAGTTACAATCTAGTTCCTTCAGATTGGAATCAACCTCGTGTAGATTGTTCGGAAGGAAGGTTTTTTTTTAAAAGTACAGACTGAAGATAATATAATCATTACTCTCTGAACTCAAGTCAATGTATGGTTCGCAGTGATCCATGGTTGAGAACCTAACTTTAGTGAAAATATAGGTCGAGTGCGGCTATTTATCCAGAAACATTGCAGCTTAAGTAGTGACAGATTGAGGTTGGAATCTATACTCGGCCTGTTTGTTCGATACCCACGTAGAACATGGTAGATGGTCGGAAGTGCCCGATGTTGGTTACTGCCAACACCAAAATTGCGCCATTGAAGGATTTGTATTCCGCCGCGTGAAAGGACAGCGAGCACAAACCCTTTCATGCTCAGAGCTATATTCGTCACAGCCATGTACCAAGTTCGTTGCCAGAGACATCAGAATGATCAGGACAGTGTGGTAGACCTACCCACATCAGATATGGCCAAGCTGAAAATAAGAAAAGTGACAATTCACGTCTACCGTGGACGGTAACGAGGACGCAGATGCAAACTCTCCAGGCTTCACACTACTAGTGAGGCTTAAGAGATACACACAGCGTGGGTGGGGTCCTTTCCGTTTCCAAGTGACATAGCCCAAAGCACGGGAGTAACTCATCAACTGCCAGAGGGATGAAAATAACCCATAACAAGCAGGTAAAGACCCATCAGCATCACGATGAAATGCATCACACCGAACATAAAACAAACGAACGACCTCCTTCAAGCCCAGTCCAAGTTTTCCCGAGCAGGATTCCAAGTCGTGCGAACGAATTGAATGACTCTCACAGAAATAGATATCACCTCTGTACGACTCACAGTTGTCCTGATACGAAGAAGGCACGGGCATAGCATAGCGCCAAGGCCAAAGCGTGCATGCAGAGTGAAGGTCCAAGTAAGTTGCAGCGAAAGATGGAGGGAGGGATGGAGGGAGGGAGACTCGAGAGCTGGAATGAAGCACGCAAGGCCCTGGATGCCACTGTGCGCTTGGGCCTTGAATGCAAACCCGAGTCCTGTGGTGGGAACGAGAGACGTCTGCCGAACGTACTTCATGGTCTGACATCATTGTGCCAGCCATGGACTTCTGCTGTAAGAGTGAACGACTGGTACCGGTCAGGCACTCATAGAACCGGGCGAATAAAGCCTCAGTTCTGGTTGCTGTCTGATCCCCCAATTTCTGGGTTCGGTTGCAATCGTTTTACTGGTTTTCGGGGCTCACCGTCAGGTCGAGGTCACTTCTGTCGTCAGGTGGTCACCATCGCCATTGAACGGTGTCCCCGTTTTCCTCCGTGTTCTGGTTTCGATCCATCTCTTCTTGACCGTGGCCGACGACTTTATTCAGGGTCGACACGACACTGAAGCCAATCGTAATAAGAACAGGTACTTGCTTCGTGTGGGCATTTTCGGCCGTAAAGTCTGTATAACCTGCGCAGAGATTTGAAGAGCCGGTCGAGCAGAAAAAATAATGCAATCGCACCAGGAGTAGCTGTCTTTTCCATTAAAATATATTACACATGTGATATGACTCTAACATATAAGACATTCATACATATAAGAAGCATTATTTACTTGATATTATATTTTGAAGATCGGGAGTGCTAGTTATCACTCATTTGAAGCTAATTAACCTCACGCTAATTCTCTAATTAATCAATACGTTACACTCTACCCTGAATGCTACTACTACCGAGGAACCTACAAACTTTCATCTACCAATCATAGAAGAGCATGGAGTAGAGTGAGGGCTAATTAGCCCTAAGTGAGTGATAACTAACCACTCCTTTTGAAGATTTAGAAATAAACCGAATCCATTACCGAATTTCATATTTGAATTTATTTTATTGATTATTGAAATATTTATATATAATGAATATTTAAAATCGAATGAACTAACATATTCAAAATATGTATATCATGCTATACAACATGATATACAATTTTTTTACAATTATTGCAACTGGTCATCTATCCATTTCTAATACCTAGTGTAAAAATCAACTTGATTTTTCCAACAACACCAACTACGCACACTAAAGTGAAAATCGTATACCAATTACGAGATAAAATTACTTCATGGTATCCTTGCGAAACATCAAACACTTGCTAAAATCTACCATGATTCATTTTACTCTATCATATCTCCTCCACCCGACAGTTCTTAAGATCACCATCATCCATGTTTTGATATAAGTTCAAGATTAGTTATAGCTTATTGTAATGAAAGTATACTAGTGGGTGACCTGTACCTAACAAGCGAGCATGTACCCCTCCAACAGAGCTCTTGAAACGCTCACAATCTCTCATGAATGAGAAATCAAAACCTGGAAACTTGACAACAAGCCATATACAAACATATCTTGAAACTCAAAGAGCCCTTGAAAACAAAATCTGTAGATAAGACGACGATCTCACAATTTTGGTAGCTGCAATGAACTTGCTCCACACTCATAACCAAGATAAGAAGCGAGAAAAGAAAAAGAGCGCGACTTGAACTTCAATTTATCTAGTTGTTTATACTATGCAAGCCAATGCATTTCTATGGATGTATAGGGATGATACCTTTCTCCCAAACTATAATCTCCAACTATAGTGTTATCTCTCTAATTGGAACTCCCTAAGTTGATAACCTCCCTAATTTGATAGAAATCCCGAGAACATACTCCATGAATAGGGATAACTTGACATCCGATACCTGATACCACTTTGAAGAATATCAAGTAAAACTTTATTATTGAAAAAACGCAACCATGGTGATTTGGGATGCTTGGGATGTGTTGGCGGTGCGCAACTCATGATGCAGCATGCGAAGTACATCATTGCAACTGGCGTGAGACGGTTTGTTGAGGTCAAGCAACTTCATGGCTTCGATGAGATGGTGTAGCATTTCATTTGTTGACATCTTAGGTGGATCTGCGGCCATCATCAGTGGTCATTTGCACCAATTCCTCATATGTGAGTTCTTCAAGAGAACTCTTGTTCTCGCCTGCAGAATTGATGAAGTCTGTCACATCAAATTGTGCAGCAACGCCCATGGCTTGTATGCCTTCGGCAATTTCTTGCTCAATTGCGCATGCGTCCTGATCGATGACAACAACATCGATTGTAGTTGCGGCTTCATGGGATGCATTTAGAATCTAGATTATTTGAGATATCATTAACAAAGATGATATCTTGGTATAGCAAAAGAAATTATGGATTTTATTACCATTGATTCCAAGCTACTTTTGCCCATTGTATGGCCATAAGTTGATCAACTTTATATAGATCTATGACACCCAACTCTTCAATGTCAATTGCACGTTGGATGTAAAATCTTTGATAGCGTCGTTTGAATACTGCGATAATCCCAGCATCCATAGGTTGCTGCTTGGAAGTGGTGTTTGGCAGCAGAAAGAAGACCTCAATGTTATCAAGTTCACGGATAAGTGGCCATGCCCATTGTCCAAAAGCAACAAAATGAGTGAACCTGCCACAGTTGTTAAGTGTCTAGACTGTTTTGCATGGCCGATGAAGAAAGTCTCAAGATTGAGCGAACCATCAGCGTTGGCCGTAAATGCGATGATAAACCGCTTTTTGCTTTTCTTGAAGACTTTCAACTGGAATTGCACGATAGTCCGATCAGGAGCAAATTCGTAGAAGAGCCTGGTTTCGTCCATCTTGTAAACGTCAACAGAGTCATACGATGCTAACTTTTGTTGAATTTACTTCAAGCTCGTAGTCACAATCCCCATGTCGACAAAATTGCTCTCATCCATCATCTTAACAGAATGAAATTGATTGCGTGAAAAAAACTTCTGTTACCAGCCGTTGGAGAATTCATTGGCTTCGAGGTTCAATAGAATTGCAAGCCGCTTTGCCTTCTCAATGATGAAGGCATACGTGAGTCTTTCATGCTTTAGTAGACAAAGGGTCCGAAGGTGCCACCTTCTTGTGTTGGCATTGCAGTACTCAATTCGTCAACGCTTCATCTAGTTATGGATACTTCATTTTTTTAACCGCTTGTTTTGCAGTTCAACAGCACTCATACTCTCCAGGTTTCTCTTCATGCCGAGAATATTGGAGATGATGTACTTTGGAAGGTTTGAAAGTGGTCTTTGCCCATTCTCTCACCTTCACTTGATGTAGACCAGGGGTTTCCAGGCTGTACCGTCACAGCTCAAGCTTCTGCTCATTGTTCATGATGGGGATGGATTGCGGAAGAGCTGCGACATCCGGGAGTGTTGCTGGATGGCATGAAACAAAGGCGACACAATAAGGCAAAGCGGAGTTTAAATTCCCATTGTACCTCCTCAACTTGATAACCTCTCTAATTTGATCAAAAGTTTGTGAACGACCTTATTAGATTAGAGAATTATCAATGTATTGGATTACAAAAACTCGTATTGGAGCATGAAAGACGGTGAGATGTATATCCATAATGTGTATCATAGTAT